TTCCTGTTCTTGCTTTGCAACTATACCCATTCGTTCATTAGCAAAGAAAAAGGGAAAATCATAGTCTTAAACGTCTGTTCTGATTTGCACTTTCTGGTGTATATTATTTATTTATTATGTTATTTACATTCCATTATGTCACTGATTATATTTCCCCTAACACGCACACGCACACGCACACGCACACACATCTCTCTAAAAAGAAGCACAGGGAAGAAAAGAAAGGAAAAGAAAAAAGAAAAGAGAGAGACAGTGAAAATCACTAAAAAAGGAAATGAAGAAAGAAGAGAGGAAGGAAGGAAAGGGGAAGGAAAAGGGATAGGAAGAAGAGAGAAAAGAAAGGAGAGAAGAAAGAGTATGATAGATGAGCAAAAGTGAAGATTTACTTCTATTAATGCTAAAGGTACGAACGGGGGGCGAAGTTGAAGTTACCGGAAGAAAACAATGATTCCATGTAAGAATTTTTTAACAATTAGAGATTTTCAAAAAGAAACAGGTAGTCTTATGAAGTGGTGTACTTTTTACAGCAACAGTTGAAGCAAGAAGTGGATAATCAGCAAACAAGTATATGCTGAGGGATTTTCTGCATTGTTGAAAAAAATGTATGAAATGACTTACAAGGGAGACAAACCATAAGAGACTCTTAATCTCAGGAAATAAACTGAAGGTTGCTGGAGTGAAGGGGGAAGGACGGATGGGGTGGCTGGGTGATAAACACTGGGGAGGGCATGTGCTATGGTGAGCTCTGTGAATTGTGTAAGACTGTTGAATCACAGACCTGTACCCCTAAAACAAATAATACATTATATGTTAATAAAAAAATCAAAAAAAGAAAAATCTATTATAGTTTTATTTTACAGTAACAATAAATAATCCAAAAACAAAATTAAAATATAAAAAAAAAATGACTTACAAGGTCTATCCTAGTACTAAGATTCTACTATTTAACATTCACTGTTAAGATTTTCATTGTCACAAACACATGTGCGTAGGAGTGTGCTCTTGTTCTCCCTCTATCTCTCTTTTTCACCTAACCACACACACAATTAAATCATAATTAGGTGCAAAATAACTAACTAGAATAATTTACTATTCTTTCAGGTATTTCCGTATAAGCATTAAAAAGTAACACCCATCCTAATGTGGATAAAATCTCCTTTGTTCACTAACTCCACTATGTACTTTTCTTATTTTGCCATGTAATTCTTGGTAAACTATTTGAGATTCAGAAAACGTAGTAATCAAAAAGGTTTGTATTAAAACCATTTTCAAAAATGTGGTAATCTATTCAATAATCATTTATTTTGAAGGTCAAAGTTAAGATTTTGAAGGCTTAAGAAAGGATGTATATCAGAAATACAATTCCACTGAAAACTATACTGAATATACAATTCTGTACTCAGGAAACATTGCTTGAGCCTTCAAATCTTTCAGTTAGTCTCTGATCTGACAGACTCCAGAAGATATTATTTCCCTATTTATTTCTTTCTCTGACTTTTTAGAATCAGAAGTAAAAATCAATAGTTGCCCTCTATGTTCTAAAATTAGTTTTTCTCATGTGGAGGAATAAATGTGTTTTCCTTTTTAAGTTTGTTGGTACTACAGTGTTGTCACAATAGGCCAAATTCAGATGTAACATAAACTTGGGTTATTAATAAAACAAATTTATTAAGTATATTCGAAACAAATTCTTGAGGTTTCATGTATTGAAGCTATATTTTAAAATAAAATTCCATACGGTGCTAGCCTTCTCAGAAAATAGAAAATGCAGCATTTGGGGTATATATTGACCTATAAATTGCCACATCCTCTCCTTTAACTCATTAACTGCTTAAAATGTGTGCCTGGTGTATATTGTGCAGCTCATTTCAAAAGCAATATATTAATAAACAGTATGGCTCAGGAAATTCAAATTATGTAAAGCACTTTTCTCTGTAAAATAATTTAACAAAATCAAAAATGTGGGCATAAAGTGTGAAAACTCTAACAGGATAATATTGGAAACTTCAACATTAGAGGAATGATCTGATAAAGCATATACATAATTGAATATTTTATCCATCAAAGTAATAATTATGGAGACAATATCAAAATATGGAATAGGATTTCAAATATATGGTTAAAAAACAGAATTATCTAAAATTATGTATATTTTACAACTCTGTAAAATATGGATATTTACATATGAAAGGGATGTGCAAAAGTGAAAAGATTTTAGAGTTTATATAGTTCTTGGACCCCGAAGTCCAAGTGAAGAATCTATAACTAGATTAGTTAGAGAATGGTGTAGTTAGTAGTACTTCTCAGGGTAGTTAGGGAATGGATTTTCCTTATTTCTGTTTTATGGAGGAAGACTCATAAAATCTGTACCTTTACTTTTAATTAACCAGTAGAGAATTAGAAATAGAAAAGATAGTACCTATATGTTAATCAATAGTCATTCTAATATGCTGCCATAATAGAATTTATTATCAGTTTTGCACGGATTATACTATTTGACCTTGAGTGCTAAATAATTATGTGGCAAAATGTAGTATACTGGTAATATTATTGTTTTATGACATTGAACATTAAACTGAAAATTAACCATAAGATTGTATAAATGAAAAGGACGTTTTCAAAAATTGCAATGAATTGATATATTTGAGGCAACTTCTAATTTGTATGATTGACCTTAAAAGTTACAATTTTTTCATAAACTCCATTTCATACATTATTGTACTATAATTCAAAAACATTAATGCAATTTCCAACAGGGATAAATTTATTAATGGTAGTTTCTTAGTAGTGAATATGACTCAATTTAGTGAATCATCTAAGCATTTTTCATATTTACCATGCTACCTATTTTGTTTTAGCTTACAGAACAAACTCTTTTATCTTTTAGCAACTTCTGTAATTATCACTCATTTTTAGGAATATGTTTTAGTACAACAATAATACTTTCATTGAACAGCTAGAAAGAGTTTTAAATATAATTTCTAAAGTACGTATTTCCTTAGGAGAACCAAACTTGTCATTCTCATAAATTTAAGAAATACTTTATCCCCACGATATAAAGGGAACATTTAGAAATAAAATACCAAACTTAATACCTGAGTCTTTCTTAGAAATTTAAAATTTATGTATTATAATCATAGAGAATCAGTTTTTTCAAATTCTATTCTCACCTGCAATTGGTTTATTTGAATAGATTTCTGGAAATGAGTTGGAAAGACATTATGAGTTCATAATGATAATTCTAATTTGAGTTTATCATTACAGAGTTTTTACATACCTCCATTAATTTGATATCTATATCCTCATTTCCCATAGAAAAAACAAACTGACCTAGTCCTCAGTAACACCAGAATAATTACTCATTTGCCTTAACCCTCAACATGCACATTCAGAATTACTATATTAATATAACCAACAACAATGTCATTACTAAAAACAGTTTAATAATTTTTACAGGTTGTTTTTTTCATCCTTAAAATTATCTCATTAGGATGTATGCTAGGTTACTATGTTTTAGAGTTTTAAGTAGTTACTCTTGGAGGCTGTGCCTCAATACACAGGTTTCTTTCGTTTTTCTTTGCTTTTTTTTGATATTACTTTTTTAAGGGCTAATTTGTTTTCTAAACATTTAACTATTTACAGGGTTCCAAAGTAAATTTCAAGGGAAGGCAAATTCTGAGACTTCTATCTTCCAACTTTATAGTGTCCATCCTATTGTCTCCCATCCCTGAGGGTATCCATTGTTATCATTTTTTCTATTCTTGGGTTTATCCTTATATTGTTTTTTATACATTCTTCCCACCTTATTTTTTTCACTTAAAAATATATCCTGAAAAAACTCCATTATAGTTTTTATAGATAGCCATAATTTTCTGGTGGATGTAGTGTAGTTTTTCAAATAGTCCCTTTTTGACAAACAGTTAAATTGTTTCCAATCTTTACAAATAAATCTCAGTGAGTAGTCTTGTAAATATGTCACTTTGTGTTTGTTCAGTGTATCTTTGGGATAGATTTCAAAAAGCCCAAGTGTAAATGAACATATAATTTGCCTTAAATTGTCGAATTTCCCTTCATGAAAGTTGTACTATTTTGCATTCCTACCGACAATGTATTAAAGTGCTTTTCCCTATAGCCTAGTCAGCAGAGCCTGCTGTCAGATTTTTGGATTTTTGCCAATCTGATTGGTAAAAAATGGTATCTCAGCATATTTCATTTATATTTCTCTTTTTATGAATGAATTTTAACTTCTATGTAAAAACCTGTTGTATTTAAAAATTAGCAATACTTTAAAATGAGGGGGATTTTGTTAGAGAGAAGAATCTATGATATATACATTCTAGGGAAATTTTGGAAGTTTAATGCAAGATTGGTAGGATTAGGTTGTTAAAACAATGTTATATAGGGGAAAAAAGACATGATGCTGAAAATGAACTTCAGAAGTTAAATATTTCAATTTTATTCAAATGTCACAGAAACCATGCAAAAGAAATAATTCTCATGTTGATATGCAATAATTTATAGTTAAGAAGTTTGTGGTTTAAACTTTTATAAAGTACTAAGACTTTATAAAGTACTAAGTCTTGAGGAGAAAGAAAAGCCTATAAATGATCTTGTGTAATTGCAGAGTATTTTTCTATAGCAGACTTAGATTTGATAAAATATAAGAGCCAAGTGTATTGTACTTCATGTCATAACCTAAAACCAAAGCCAGTTTAAAGGAAAATGTCCTCCACTAACAAAGACTAAGATGATGAGTTCTGGCTCTCATTCTTGGACTATCTGAGTTTTTCCTGTGTGCCCTAGTAATGTTTCTAAATATATTTTAATACTTTATTTGGATTAAATAGAGTAGATCCTAAGGCTTTCTTATTAATCTGATATCAACAATTGCTATCATCTTCAACAAGAATTATATTTTCCTTGGAAGACAAAATATTAAAGAAAGGATTCTGGAGAATGATTCCTGACAATTAATTCTTAGTTATTTTCTTTCCTTTCAGCACCTTCCCTGATAGGTGTGGTAAGGAAGGACTGGGCATCCCAAAATAGCATTGCCCTATCATGGCAAGCACCTGCTTTTTCCAATGGAGCCATTCTGGACTACGAGATCAAGTACTATGAGAAAGTAGGTCTTATTTGGAGCTTCCTAAAAAACTACATATACATATATATGTATATATGTATATATTGAGCATGTTGTTATATTATTTTACTTTAAAACCTGTTCTTTGACCTAACTTCATACCTACTATTTCTTTTAAAACTCTCTAATTTACTATTATGCTTATACTTTCTTAATTAATTTGTTTTGTTTTATGTCAGATTATAAAGTAGAAGACACAAGATGTCCATTTCTGTCATGACTTACTATAAGGATTTTTCCAATATAGTAAGAGGCAGTAACTCCTTTAGTTTACAGTTTAGTTGCATAACATTGTTTCTACAATTCACTCAGAAGACATGGTAAAATGGAATTGCTATAACCTAAAGAGAGAGTTTGTGTAGCCCATAGTTTTTGCCAATGAGTTTAAAGTTAACAGTTCACTATAATTTGGAAAGGATGATTTAAGGGATAAATGGAAATAGCTGGTGGTTTAAAATTTTTCTTTACATTTAGGTCAGCTGTTTTACTTTTTTAAGAAGCTAGCAAGATATATCTGGTTAATAAATCAACTTAATCTTAATTTTCATTTTTATTATTTTAAAATTGTTCTCAACTACTATATTTTTCCCAAATTATATACTTCCTTATCTTTATTGTATCCACATTCTTCTTTATGTTTTTTCCCCTTATTCCTCACTATTCTGATATTGTGCCTGTAGACATTATCACAGACCACATAACAATTCTGGTATGTCTCATTGTGCTGCTGCTGCTCTGGAATATTGATAAAGGGAACATTAAATTTAAAAAAATAAAGTAAAAATCATACACAATTTCTAGTTGTATAATACAGTAAGAAGGAACTTCTTGCATTTCTGTAACTGATTAGAAGCAAAGGAATATCACAAATAAATTTTTATTTCCTCTGAAGAAATACAACACAAGAACAGAAATGGAAGTCTATCTTTTTCTATTCTATTGCTTCTGAGCAAATATAAGTTTGAAAAAGGAGAGGTAACTCAGTAGCCTGCCTGTATCCATTTTTGACACTCTAGTAATTTCAGCATTATGTAGTCAATGAAAACTGTCATTATGAACCAACAGGAATAACTTCATAGTCTAAGAAAGGGGAAATTGACTGAGTTTTAATTGGATTACAGATTCTGCACATTAGCCAGGCCAGCATGTGCCAGAAATCTTGTTGAGCTATCCTTTCAAATGTTACAACCTCTAGCATGCTGTCACAAAATACACATATTTTCTGTCTACTCGTTTAGATAGATCCTTAGGTATGCAAAAATTCTCATTATTTAAAAAAGCAATGGGCACATATATAAGCAACTTTTCAGAATGAGAATACTCCTCCATGTTTTATGAAGGCTGTATTTTGTACACAAAATCATTCTCATTTTATAGTCATTTATACTTCTTATGTTTGAAGATGAAGATAACTTGCAATATTTCCAATTAAGGACAAATCATACAGATTCTGTAAAAAGGGAACGATATTCATCCAATCAAAATTTTAGAAATCAATAATATCCTGAAAGATGGTAACTGACATAATTTCCATGTTTTAATGATAGAATAGGTAATGTTATGAAGGAGTCTATTTTGTAAGAAAATAGCAATTTTGCTAATGGAGTTACTACACATGTAGTAAACCTGGAGTTGGAAGCCAAGGATGCCTATTTCATGTTCTGATTGTGACTCTCATTATGCCTGTGGCCAAGAAAACTCAATTAATCTTCCTATGTTTCACACTTCACATTTACAAAAGGGAAATGAAGGTATCAACTCTTCAAGTGGGTTGTAAAGATTAATTTTATAAACAGACGTAAAGATGAAAAGCACACTGAATCAGTATTAGAAATCATTTAATTTAAGAAAGAATTAAGGAAATATTTGGCATATAACATGGAACCAGTATACAACAGCATGGGAATTGTATACAAATTAAATAAAAATCATTCTTTCCATACGTGAATACATAATGTATAGGCAACTAATCAACGATGTTAGAATGTCAAACCTTTCAGAGCAAGCATAAAATGATTGATAGGATTAAAACTGTTTCCAACTATGGCTTCATACTGTAACTGTGCATTTTACCTATAGGCATCTATAACATGATTTCTGCTTTCAAGAAAATATTTTTATAAAATTTATAACTAACACCTTACGATAGAACTCTTAAAGTGCTAATTTCCTTCTTTATTAGGAACCTAAATACTGTTCAGTAGGAAAAGCAAGATACGAAGAAATATATGTACAAATATATGATCATAATTTCAGAATGCAAATATCCCACTCTATATGTATATGTATATATATATATATAAATATAGAGAAATATGGAATGGAACAGAGGGTACACCATGCTGTCTCCATTGTTGCTTCTTGAGTGGGAGTGGGATGGGGGACTGAAGTACATGGATGGAGGCAAGGAAGAGAGAGGGAAGTAGCAAGCATAGATAAATATGGATGGATGGATGAATGGATGGATCCAAAACAGCTTTGCTTTTTGTCTTCTGTCCAGTTGCCCATAAGCAAACCCTGAGACAGGATTTTGTAAGCAAGTGATTAATTAAGAAAGCTCCTAGGAAAACCGATAGAGAATGGGGAAGCAAGACTTTGAAGAAAATGCCAGTCAAACTCAGAGTGACCAACGGGAGCTCTGGAGTATAAATTACATCTCAGAATTCATCCTATGGAGATCAAGAAGCTGAGCTACCATACTCTGGCTCCAGGCAATCATTGGTCACAAGTCCTAATGAGGTGTACAGAAAAAAAAAAAATCAGCAGCACTTCTGGTTCTCTGCAGTGGCTTTAGTAACCCACGTTTAGGTCTATAAAGAAGGTGCCAGATACAAGACTTTACAGTCAAAAAAAACAAACGCTGGGGGGGGTGGGTAGGAGCAGGAGCAGGTAAAGGTGATCCAAGGGGGTCTGGTGGTGCACCATTAACTAAGGTACTTCCGTGCTCAGGGAACTGTGAAAGAATTTTAAGCCTAGGCTCATTATAATATTCATGTTCTCTTCAGTCTTTAATATTGGTGCCTCAGTCTTCAATTTATGGCATTTTATACCTTCTATTTCCTTTTAATCAAAGTTAGTCTGTATTGCTAACTCATAATTAGTCCACAAATGATCAATATTTACACCATTCTTTCAGGAATTCATGCTGTTTTATTATGTTCTCCTTAAAGCATTATTCTGTAAATCAGGAAAGAAGTTAAGCTGTTTAGAATGTGAAGTGTCTACAAATATCTGAGGTCAAACAACATACTGTTGTTAGCAGTGACCTTTTCTCAGGGAATGTGTAGTATTAGAAAAAGGCCCTGCCCTGGGTGTTCAAAAACTCAATTTTGGCTCAGATCTTAATTTTCTTAGTCCTGTTTCTTCATCTGTAAAAAAAAAAAAAAAAAAGTCTAGTAAGATAATCTCTGGTTCTAGCTGTTTCGAAATTACATCCATACAGTTTATAGATATGTTATCCCATAACTCAAACAACTATGGTTTTTCATTTATGTCTACTGAAATCAAATGCACACATACACACATATTTAAAAAACACCACAGTATTCTTCACATTATAATTATATATAAAAATTAAGACCCTATGTTGTCTTCTGTCTGTGTGTGATGAGAAGGGTATGGAGAAGAAAACATATTGCTTATTGATTATAACTAATTAGATATTGTCTGTTCAGTTAATTATACGCCCCCAATTCTTAGTTACTTGTTTCATACTCAAAAAGTGTTTCATTTTTTTACACTCAAGTGAATAAACTTTGAACATGAAAAGGCACTTAAAATAATGAAGAAAGTTAGGTATGATACCAAAAAAATCCTCTTTCATATTTACTTACTAACAAAGTAAAGCCTACTCATGAGGGAACTGTTAAAAAAAAAAAAAGACAAATTAGGTGATACAAACACTCTTTATTTAACACTTCAGGAAGGGGACAGTCTTAGAGAACTGCAAAATGGGGCAGAAGGCAGGAAACTTTTATAGGTTAAAGACTAAGAACAAAGAAGAGAAAAAATGAAAATATCTGATTGGCTGAGGCCACATATTTAATCTTATTTGGGGTGAGAAGGAAGGAGGAAAGAAGTATAGAGTTGGCTTGGCATTTGGGGACTGGCTAACTGGATATACTGCGTTTTTGATCAAACAGAATTTATTGGGATACAAAAATCGTATTCAGTTTACTGATGTGGCACCCCAGGTAGGAGCAACTTCATCTTGGGCCTAGAAAGTTATTTTAGCAAAATTAAAACATTATAGGGGCGCCTGGGTGGCTCAGTCATTAAGCATCTGCCTTCAGCTCAGGTCATGATCCCAGGGTCCTGGAATGGAGCCCCGCATCGGGCTCCCTGCTCGGCGGGAAGCCTGCTTCTCCCTCTCCCACTCCCCCTGCTTGTGTTCCTTCTCTCGCTGTGTCTCTCTCTGTCAAATAATAAATAAAATCTTAAAAAAAAAAAAACTAAAACATTATCTGCTTCCCCCCTGTATTTCCAACTATAAATTTGCAAACCCTGTTGCAGTCACAAAATATCAAAAATTCCATTGAATATCAAACATGCCCTTTCCTTATTTCTACTCTTCCCTCTCTCTTTACTCTTTTTGTTCTCATTCTTGATTTTTCCTCTCCTTTTGTCCTCTGCCCAAGGCACTTTTCTTTCTCCTGCTTATTTGTTCTTTTATTATATTTATCAAAGTTAGTCTTTTTCTTTTAAAGATTTATTTGAGAGAGAGAACACAAGCAGGAGGGGCAGACAGCAGACTCTGTGCTGAGCCCGACACGGGGTTTGATCTTATGACCCTGAGATCAGAACCTGAGCCAAAACCAAGAGTCAGATGCTTAGCCAACTGCACCATCTAGGCAGCCCTCAAAGTTAGTCTTGATTAGAGTCATTTATGTGTATATCTGACTCTCTCACTAGTTTGTGAGCCCCTGAAGAAAGGAGACCATTTCTTGTTTGTCGTTGTCACCCAATGCTCAGTCAGTGCCTAA